CATTAGTAAGGATGGAACAGAATTACATACCGACAATGCCCTTAAAGACCATCTTAAGGGAGACAATTGCCACTACAGCAGAGAACAGGAGAACAGGAGAAGTCTTTTCCCCAAACAATAGCATGCACTTTCTGATGACATCATAGAACAGAGACAGATTTGCGCATGTTACACCAGGTCATGCCAGAGGGGGGCACTAAAGAGTAACTTTCTCAGGGAAAATCTATTTAAACAGAACACAGTTACATGGTGACAGAACACTCCCCGTCTGAAACTCAGCAGGTTTCACCTACTAATATGACAAGGTCAAACACATTTCAGTCCTCTGGAGGAATGAGCAAGATCATCTCATTCACGGGTCAGACGTAAAGCTTTGGTCCCTCTTTCTTAATGACCTTCACTTGCACTTTGCGCACCCTTCCGTCTTTACTGGGATACACATCAACGATAATACCTAAGGGCCAGTCGTTCCGCTGCACTGACTGTCCTTAAGAAGCACCACACTTCCTTGCTTAAGGTTTGGCCGGTCAGAAGTCCACTTTGTTCGACACTGTAGTGTTGACAGATACTGTTTCCGCCACCTGTCCCAAAATGTGTTAGACAAGCTTTGGACCCTGCGCCACTGTTGCTTCAATAGGTCTTTATGTCCAAAATCTCCTTCTGGTACTGGGCATGGACCTACTTTCTGAGTAAGCAATGAAGCCGGTGTAAGAATGAAAGGATCTGTAGGATCATTTGACACAGGCACCAGTGGTCGACTGTTCACTATGGCTGAGACCTCAGCCATGAATGTTGTGAGTACCTCATGTGTGAGTTTGGAGGAGCCCATCTGAAGAAGCATCGAGTCCAGGATACGACGTGTGATGCCAATCATCCTTTCCCATGCTCCTCCCATATGAGAGGAATGTGGTGTGTTGAAGGTCCACGTACATCTGTGTTCTGACAGAAACCTCTCCATGGCTTTCCCATCAAGATTTGAGGGAATCCCCATATCTTTGCAAGCTCTGGTGAAATTAGTGCCCTGGTCGGAGCGTATGTTTTTCAAAGGTCCTCGAATCGCCATAAACCTTCTGAATGCGTTTATGAAACTGGAGGAATCCAATGACTCAATTACCTCAATGTGTATAGCTCTGACACACAGACAGGTAAAGAGGACAGCCCACCTCTTACTATCAGCGTGGCCTCCTCTCGTGCAACGGGCTGATACAGACCAGGGCCCAAACACATCAATGCCGACGTTGCTAAAAGGTGGTTCAATGCTGAGCCTGTCTGGTGGCAAGTCTGCCATCTTTTGAACTTCACACCTCCCTCTCAGCCTTCGACAAGTGACACACTCAAAAACGAGTCTATTAATGCATCTCCTGCCACCAACGATCCAGTAACCTGCAGATCGGACAGCTCCTTCAGTGAAGAGACGTCCTTGGTGACGTACTATGAGAGTGGTTACGTGATGCCGTCCAGGCAGAACCAGTGGCCGTTTCTCGTGGAACCCTATTTTTGCCTCAATGAGACGACCCCCAATCCTTAATAGCCCGTCTGAGTCAATGAAAGGATCCAGGGCAACGAGTGAGCTGCTCTTGGGAATGTTGGCGTTTGATGCAAGACACTCCAGTTCTTTCCTATAAACCTCTTGTTGAACTGTTTTGATAATGACTAGCTTACTCTGTTCAAGAATATCCCCGGTTGGGGGTGTGCTGCACTGATGCCAACCCTCACATTTTTGAGCGACACACTCCTTTCCTTTTTTGAAGCTCTGAACAATGTGAATAAGGGTACCAAGAGCCCTTATGAGGGAACTCCAGCATGAGAAGCGATTGAACCGCCCAGAGCCAAGATGTTTGAGGACTGTGACCGACAGTGTTGTGACTTGAGGCCTGATTTCACTGTCTTGATCTGGTTCCAAAAGGTCAAACCTCTGTACCACAGGTGACGCCCCTTCAGGTCGAGACAAGAATGCCGGTCCAGAGAACCATATTGTGTTCTCAAGGCGGTCTGCTGTGATAGACCGTGTGGCAATGTCTGCGGGATTTCTTCTGTGCAGACGTATCGCCACTGCTGTGTCATAGTGCTTCGTCTGATCCTCTGGACTCGATTGCTCACGTATACATAAAACCTTCTTTTCTCATTGAAGATATATCCGAGCACCACCTTACTGTCTGTGTAGTAAGTGACTGCGTCAAATACAATGTCTATTTCGGAGGTGATGACCTCAGACAGAGTTACTGCCA